GACTAACTTTGGAGTAAGCTGAGGCCATTGAGCCTGCATCCGGCCCTGCTGTAGGTCCATGTTCACAGAAATTTCTTAGAAGGGGTCTGTTACTTGTACAGCCTGAGCCAACTGCTCAAGATTATATTTAGGGCTGGAAAAAGCAGCTTCCAGGCTCAGCCTGATTCTGTGCATCTATGTGGCAGTCTGCTGGACCTAGTAAACTTCCCAGGAGTGAGATCATGATGCAGAGATGCTCCAATTGCCTATCTGCCTTTTGGAGGCAAATTGTTTGATGCCTCTTTCTTTTTTTTTTTTTTTTTTTTTTTAATTCTGTGTGTGCCCTCTTGTTCTAAATAACAAAAAGTTGACTGTGTATTGAGTCCTTCAGCTGAGTGTATTAATTAGCCAGTGTGGTTAACATTTCTCATATCTGGTTTGTCTGTTGCTCATTTCAGGGAGTAAATTACATGTGCAGTTTATCTTTTGATAGGATTTTAAATTTTTTGAGTGTGTTTTAAGCTTTAAAGTGTTAATTGGTGAAGGTAAAAGTGCACCTGTAGTTGTTACTACAAGAAGTTGGGATTTTTTTTCCCCGACTTTATTTGAAGTCTTAAGATTTGGCACAAAAGCTTCCAGAAATAGATGCACAAGTCTTATGTTCTTATACTACTCTGAGGTTAACTGACTTGATGTCAGAACAGCTTGTCAAAATAGTACCTAATTAAATATTTGATGCTGTTTTCTGAATTTTTCTTTTTTATTGTTGGCTGGTTTAACACAAGAGGCCAAATCTGGATTGGCTCTTGACTTCTCATAAAATGTAATATTCCTACTTTTTATATGGTAGCTTATTTGGCACATCTGTCCATAAAATCAAAGGAAATCAAATTCCTGATGAACAAAATATACACATTACTAACTTTTGACTTGTTCTCTGTTTATTGTGTTTAAGTATGCTTCAGTTATGTAATTTGTTTTCCTGTGATCTATGTAAAAATGAGTTCTTATATGCAAAAAAAAGCTACCTTAAATGGCTTTGTTAATGAACTTTTAAGCACAAATTCTCAAAGTAGCAAACATTGAGTGGAATAATATATGAATGTTATAGAATTGCTGTAGACTAAATATGAACTTTTAAGGAAGCTATCTGAGATTCTGGTTCTATATAAAAAGTGTAAGCTCTAAATTGAGAAACGGATGATGCTTTTGCTCTGGTCTTTTTAGAGAAGCAGTTGTCCAAAAATATCTTTGGAAGCAAGGGAGAATTAGTGAAAATAACTTCAGTGTCATTTCTAAATACTGTCTGTTAAACAGATGGTAAAACTGCTGAGGCATGTTATGCTGACACCTTGCTGTTGAAGCAGCCAGCAGGGCTCAAGGTCCTGCAGGAACGTGTGTTGCGTAATAACCATTGATCTAAGAGTGTGTATTTTCTCTATTTTGAAAACATTGATAGATTCTTGTATCTCAGTATCATAGATATTTGATCATAGATGCCAACTAAAAAGAAATGCCTACATGTCATTAAAAAAAAAAAATCTCTTCACGCTGTACCTCTCCCCCTTAAAAACAGGGGAGACTGGGACTTTAAGAAATTCCATGCAACAAAGTATTTATTGCTTTGCAAGACAGAGAAAACATTACTTTTAGAATCCATGAGTTTGGTAAGATCTTAAAGTGATAATTGACTTTTTTTTGTTTTTTTTTCTTTGAAACGGTTATTTCCCCATGATGAATAGCATATGCTGGCACTATTCTGTGGAAGTAAAAAAGCTTACTTTTCTCGATTGGGAGTTTAAGAGAACCAAATAATATACTCAGTGCGGCATGAAAAGAAAAATACTTGGAAGTTGCTAGTGTAGCTTAGGACTTTTTTTCATTCTCATTTACCTTGTAACTAATGTTGATGTTTGGGTGTTTAAGCAAGAAGAATGTTGGCTTTATAAGGGATCTATTGAGCTCTTGTTTTCTTAAGTAGTGATAGTCTGGATCACTATTTGTTTTTTCAATTTGAATTGATACTTTATATTCCCTCCAATAAAAGCTGTATGCTTTCTCATTTTGCCATACAGCTGTAGATTTCTGTTGGAAGACCAACTTATGCACAACTAGCTATCTGTTTAGTTGGAAAAAGACTGGGAGTATACTTAGGTTCTATTTCATGCACTAACACCAGCAAATATTAGTCACAACAGTTGGTAGAGAAAATACCTGTTATTTCAACACCCTGGTCTTACACAAGAGCTATTTCAAAAGGCACTGTGGTGAATCCAGCAATTAAGAAAGGCATTAAATTCAGTTAACTGTCTTTCAGACCTGATAAACTACAGGTAATGTTCTCAGTACTGCTTTTAAGTGTGGGACTCAGATAAGCATGTCCTTTTAAAATCTACTTCTATCCAATTTCTTATAGGAATTGCAGAAAAAAATCCAAAATTGTAACTGTTAAGGGTTATTAAGTACATATTCATAAAAGATTAAAATGAGTTTTGGGCTGGATTCCTTTCAGTGCTTTTCCTGTTTGAGCACTCGCTTTGGCATTGCACTAGAGTTGTTTAAATGTATTGTATACAGCAGCTGTCTGTCCTCACATGTTTTTAATAACTTGCTATAGACTAAACCAATGAATCGGTAAAATAAAAGGCCTCTTTGTTAATGTACTGTATCGTTAATTGAGGCTTATGCACTTCTGGTTTGGCAAGGAGAAAGTTTGAGTTCTCTGGCTGTTAAGAAATAAGAAGTTGACAAGAACAACTGACCCACTTGTCCGTCTTGAAAAAACTAGGATGCCTGCTCTCATGAAACAATGATCCAAACAGTTTCAACTCCATTGGCATTTAATTGTTAATGTGTGCGAAGTCTGTTTCAAAGCTGCTTTGGCACTTCTTTGAAGGCAGTTAGTCAGCTTGTCATAGTAGGATTTTACTCTCTGGCTAGAGGAGAAAGTGCTGTTAAAGGTTGCTTATTGAGGCTAGCTCTGCTGAAAATAGCAGGAGAGGCAGCAGAGTAATAAAGTGAATAACAGCAGCGTGAACTAAAATAATGCTGGTAACAAACACTATGTTCTGAGGTTTTCTAAAATACGGCAGACTTTTGTCCCACATTCCAGTAATTTATTTGAAAGGCATGTTCCACTTGAGGATTGCCAAGAACTTTACAAATACTAAGCCTTTTAACATGTCTAAGGTATGTGCTGTGCCATTTTAAAAAGAACCTCATAGGCAAAAATGGTAGCTATATTTTTCCAGAAGCTTGTGATCTATAATAATAGAGTTTTCCTTCAGTAGTTCAGGGAAGCTTCAGACTCTTCAGGTATGAAAACCTGTTTATCTCAAATGAGTTTGTGAACTAAAAAGGTGGGTGTTTTGTTTCTGTTTCCACTCCCCCCTCCCTTTCAAATCCAAGTATGAGACATGCTAGAAATTCAATTTAAAGTTATCTATCTCTAGATTTCTAGTGTATTGTAATCTATGACAAGCTCTGCTAGAAGAAAGGTGAAATGCATGGCTTTGCCCTGAGGTGAGGGGAGAAGATGTGAGATGCAGAGCGTCATAGTGGAAAGTTTTAAGGAAGAAGGCTGTCAGAATCCTTGGGTGATGAGTTTGAATGAAAGCTTGTGGTACAGCAACAGATTGAGGAAAGAATAGGCACCAAATCTTTTCTTAGCTGGAAAAATCAGGAAGACTGGAAATCCAGAAGCTGTACAGGCTACACTGTTGAAGACTTTCACAGTTCCTTACTCTGTCTATGCAAAAATGCGTAGTCTTGTTACAGTGTAGATTTTTGAAAATGCCATAGGCTTATACATACCTTAAAAATTTCATGCCCTCTTGATTTTGGCACACAGGCAGTGATATGTCTTCATGTTAAATGACTCATATAATACATTTTCCTGCTTTTGTGGAGGTTTGCAAAGGCTCTCAAATCACAAATGAACTTGAAACAACTCAGCATATGCTCCAGTAAACCAAAAAGAAGTCAAATACTTCGACTGTTGATGGTGATTATTGGCAAATACTGAAATTACCTACGTAAAGTACTAAAATCTTAATTTCTTTGGCAGGCAAAAGTCAGTGATCGAAAGTAAACTGTACAGTGATACCATGGATTGTCAGTCCCTCCCCTCGTACTGCAGCGTAGGCTGGAAGGAATCCAGCTCCAAAGCTGCTGCAGGCATAGTCTGGTCGTAGTCGGACAGTCCAGGCATCCAAGTCAGGGCAGAAACTTTCAGATTTTACTTGTTAAAACTAAACTCCAATGTGTGTAGGCAAATGGTATTTTTTTGTAGCTAAAATGAATTTTAGCACATTTGTAGACATCAACAGGAATGTTGGGCAGGGGGTAGAGGAGATGCCAAACTTGAAGCTCCTGCTGCCAGGCTTGGGACCACTGGAATTGCTGGAACTTCCAAAGCACTTATCACAGATGAAACTTGTTTTTGCTTTGTCTTATTTTTGACAGTAGCTGTATTATTTTGAAAAGAAAATAATGTTTATATATGACTGTTTTCAACAGCTGCCTAGGCTTACAGAAATTGTCAGGCACTCCTAGGAGTAAAGTATTTAGTTCTGTGTTAATCTGTGATAAATGTTTAGTTACTTAAGCATATATACCAAGACAATTATTTTACCGAAACAGCTAAGGGAAGAAGTGTCTTTATTCTTTGCCCATTAAGGTGATGTTTCTACTGGTGATGTTGACAGTCTCAGCCCTCATGCTGAACAACTCTCTCCTGTTTGATTAGCACTGGTCTATATAATTTAAAAAATAATCTAAACCTTCACCCCCAGCTCCCTCAAACTTCACTTATTTTGAGGAAGGCAGAACTGTCCAAGGCTTTAAGTGTTGGGTCAATAAGAACTTGTTCTGTGCAGAGAAAGTTTTGGTGTCTGTGATTTAAGCGTGTCTTCAGATTCTTAGGAAGCATTACTATGCTATCGGGGCTCTGGAACAATGTTTTTAAAGCACTTCGCAAATTTAAACTTTCCATGTTTTTTGTTTGTTTTTATTTTCTGTAGACTCGAGATGATTTTCTTGGGCAAGTGGATATTCCTCTTTATCAGTTACCGGTTTGTATTTTTTGTTTGTTTGTTTTTGTTTTAAGATTGTGAAAGGGAGAAATGATTCGGTATGCAACTGTATTAGTCATTTAAGGAAGTTAACAGTACTGATAAGTGATTAAATGCTCCTGCTCTGTGGGGGTTTTTTTTTGTTTTTCTTTTGGAGAGTTGTTAGAGGTTTTTTAGTGCTGATATTTCAAAAAAATATAGGTTACCTTGTGTTTAGATACTGGTTGCCACTGCTGCAAGAGTTAGGAGTGCTTTTAGTTTTTTCAAGAATAAAAATGCAAGATTTGAAACAGTCTTAAAGACAAGACGAGATGGTAATTGCTGTCATATTTCTTAAAACAGTTTCTTTAAAGTCTACAAATTAACTTGTAATATTCCCATAAACAGATAAAGAGGAGGGTAGAGGAGGGTAAAGTGGGAAATAGAGCCAGTGTTGCTTTGTACTATTTTTTTCAAGTTTTCATTTTTGTATTATTTTTGCAAAGCACATTCTTAGCATTAAAGAAAGATCACCAAGAACATTGAAATAATTAAGCCTTTTCATTTTCTTCTGAGGTCTCAAAACAGTAGCGAATACTAACAGATTTATCAGCAACTGTTTTAAAGACAGAATAACTGTGGCAAAACAGAGCAATTGTTCTTCCACTCTGGTAAGAACCATGTCAGGAGTAGTTACAGGTGTGTCCCGTTTCCCAGTGCACCTGGGATGAGAGATCAGACTAACTGCTCTCCCTCAGTCAGGTGGGTTGGGAAGACTGGCTATAATCTCCCTCTGGAGAAGACTCTGTGTTTTCACTTCCCACTAAAACTGCACAGCAATATCAGGAGTTTTTTTGAGATATTGGTGCATTTCCTTTCCTTATTTTTTTAGCATGAACTAATTTATAGAGCCTCACTCAAGTATTTTCATGGCTGTTTTCTTACCTTCTTCAAACATTGACTTTTCTCTGTCTCCTGTTTGGTTTTGCCTTCCTGGTTCCTTGTTCTTAATTACTTGGTCTTGCCATTTAAATCCAATGTACTTTACTGGCTGAAACAGAATCATGGAATGCTTTGGGGTGGAAGGGACCTTTAGAGGCAATCTAGCCCAATCCCCCTGCAGTGAGCAGGGACATCTTCAACTCGATCAGGTTGCCCAGAGCCCCATCCAACCTGGCCTGGAATGCTTCCATGGATGGGGCCTCCACTGCCTCTCTGGGCAACCTGTGCCAGTGTTTCACCACCATCACTGTAAAAAAAAATTCTTCCTTATATGCAGTCTAAATCTGCCCTCCCTTAGTGTAAAACCATTACTCTTTGTGCTGTCCAACAGGCCTTGATAAAAAGATTTTCCCCCATCTTTCCTATGGGCCCCTTCAGGTACTGGAAGGCCGCAATCAGGTCTCCCCGCAGCCTTCTCTTCTCCAGCCTGAACAGCAAATAGGTGGATTTTTTGAAAGTCTTTAATTTACATAAGTAAATATATCTTGGATACATAAAATCAGTTTATAAATTCTTTATTACATTCAGTTTTGGTTTTGCTTGGTACCGTGCAAATGCAGACTGTTTATAACTAAAAAGAGCTAGTAATCAGGGATGTAAAAAGGGCAAATCACCTGCAAGGTGAGATAGTTGGCAGTTATGAATTTGCTCTTTCCAAAACCAAAATGTGTTAATCCAAGTGTAATCTATCATTGAATCTAGCACAACTCTTCTTTGGGAAGCCAGAAAAATAATTATGAAACTGAGATTAAGAGCATAATCTTTTTCTCTCCTCTGTGATGTATTTCCACAGTGTCTTTGTGTGTGTGTGTGTCTGTGTGTTGGTAGAAATAATGTAATGTTGGGTGGGGAGAACCCCCCCAAAAAACCACAAACCAAAAATCCAAGCTTAATTGCATTTTTATTTCAAATAAATATTTACCTTAGTTGTAAGACAATAAATTTTATAAGTATAGAACCTGATCTTGCAGATAACACCAGTGTAACACATACATCGTTATGGGATTGAAGATCTGCATTTTAATTCAGTGAAGGTGGAACATTTCAAATTGAGTGTAGTATTTCAAAACAGTATTAATAAGAACTTACACTGAAATGTCTAAAATACAAGAGAGCATTTTTCTGGCTGAGATTCAGTGTAATAGTTATCATATTCAGTAAAATTTAGACAGCTTAAATTTAGGACTTCTTCATAACAAAGCTCAACAGTTCCAAATAAAATTCTAGAAGCTGTAACTTTATAGTGTCTAACCTTTAAATTCTGGATTTTTTGTTGTTGATTCTTTCCAATCAAATGTTGACACACATTAGATATTTTTTGAAAATACTATTGTGGAATTAGTTCAACCTTCAAGGATTGCATCGTGTACCGTTGTTCTTCATTAAAAGGCTTACAGATACAACAATTGCAAGGTTTTGCTCATATTATACAGTACTTCTTGAAACGGTTAAAATGTGTTGATGAACGAGAATCTAGAGATACTCCCCAGAATTTACAAACAGCTGGGGAGAACAGTAAGAGATTTACAAATGTTCCTAAACATATAGTATTGTAAAAATCAAGTGTTTTTGTAAGAATTGTAGAACTTCAGCTGGATTATAAATATTTATGTTAACCAGAAAAACAAGTATCTTTGTTTTCTTTAATGATCCCTCTTGTGTATTCCTCTACCTGTACCTGGGATGTATGTTTATAAAGTGATGTCTGTGAACTTCTATGCCTCTTTCTCTTGAGCAACTTCACTTCTGTAAATCAGAACAGATATGTTCTCAGAATGGATTCTTTTGCAATTATTTTTCATCCCCAAGTCCTAAAGCTAGAAATGGCTTTTTATGTATATTCTGTGTAAAAAATACTTGAAAAATACTGAGGGAGGAGAAAGAGTTATGGTAGATCTTTTAAATGTGAAAATTGAGAATCTGTTTCTTCATTTCAGGCTAAACGGGGGCCAGGGTGGGGTAGACGTTCTGTGCTTTAGAAACTGTAATATATGTATATACGGAAAGGTGCTGGTTTTGTTTTTTTTTCCTTCAACTGGGGAATTAGCCTTGTTACTGAGACTAAAGCTGGTATTGCTATTACTGTACCCAAACCTGTAGTTTACATTTTAAAATGTTAGTTGGCCTTTAAAGAAACTGATTGTAAATTTCTGATCATTTTCTTTAACTTCAAGTTTTTGATTTTTCTTGAAAAATCTTGTCTTATTCCAGACAGAAAATCCAAGTATGGAGAGACCCTATACATTTAAGGATTTTGTTCTTCATCCCAGAAGGTTAGTAAATACCACATAAAAATTCTGATTTTCATATCTAAACACTGCTGTTATGTGATTTATTCTACGTGTGCAAATATTGTCTAAATTTTTATGTTTTCGTCAAAGAAATGTAAGCATCAATGGAGTAGGATATTTGTGGTTCTACTAAAAAGTCGGCATTTGTTTAAATACTTGTAGATAGTTTGTTAAGAATAAACAATTGTTCAGGCCATGATATAATTCTCATTATAACTTCATCTGCACAATTTACTGTTTCACTGAACAGTGAAATCAGTGACCAGCGCTACGCCATAACTCATTTATCCCATGTCAGCTTGAAATTGGTTCCTGCCTTCCTGTCTCTTTCGTTTGCCTGTTTCATGTAAACCGTTTCATGTGACCTTAATTGTAAACATAACAAAACTTGAAAAGCTGCTTAACATTTAGGAAGGCTTGTGTTAAGAAAACAAGGAATTTTTAAGTGATAGGTAACACTTTGACATTGATATTAGTGTCATCTTTGTTCTCGAAATGTGGATTCTTAACCTAAATCTGAGCAGTTTTTAGCAACTTCTATTAGAAATAAGATGCATTAAATGTGTGTCCTCATCTCTCAGATAATAGGTTCCAATTAGAAAGAACATCAGAACATGTGCGATCTATAGATCTTTCTCAGCAACACTGGTAGCAGAAAGAATATTTTAAAAATATTTTACATATTGTTTTTTAGCAGATCAATGTTTTTAACAGAGTTAGTGACTGTGAAGTTTCATTTTGATCTCCTATTTTTCCAAATTTAACATCTCCTAGCTTATAAATGAATGAAGAATAATAATGACTGTCTCTACATGAATTAACTTCAGTTGTTTTTGTTAGTCAAGGTTCTGACCTCTTCTTGTAGTGGCTACCACAAGAATTTGGCAGTGGTTTGTAATAAGAGAGACTGCCACAGATTCAGGCTCTTTTCTGCCTTGAAATCTTACTGTAACTTTTAAATGCTTTAGTATTGTTTATGCGTGTTCTTCAGTTTTGCTCGTATTTGCATTTGCTTAGGAATATTAGTAATAAGGTTACTACCTTACCAATACCTTATGCTGAGTAAGAATTATCAGCATGTTAAGAGTATGAAGTGAATTACTGTAACTGTTGTATTGGAAAGTAAGATAGTTGGTTACTTCCTGTTTCAAAGGGATGTGGGCTTTTCTGAAACCGAAATACGATTTGAATGAACATGTTTGTAATCCAACATGAAATGCTTTTCTGCATATCAGAAAATCTAATTCACCTTTTCCCCACAGGGGGCGGGGGGGGAAGCAAAGCATTACACTGTAGTGTCATGGGGGTTTTGTGTTTGATTTTTTTTCTTTATTTTAATGAGATAATGTACAGGTATCCAGTTGAATCATTAGTGATATTTTCAGAATGCTTATTTTCTTTTTTGTATACCAATAGTCAAACAGATGACATAATTTGGCAGCTTTCTTTACCAAGTGAAATTATTAGATAAAATCAATATGGAGAAATCCTGTTTTCAGGCTTCTAATGATGCATTAAGCTAAATACAGAGAGGCAGATGCTGCAGTATATAAGCTTGTTGTAATTTAAAGTTTTAGTAAAAGTAGTCCTGTAATTTGAAATAATGCTTGATAGATTGTCTGCGCGCAGTCAAGTTATATTAAACTGTCGTTATTCATATTTTCTTGTTGTTTATTGTTATGCACTGGATACTAGGGAAGTTTTCAGAAGAGTGAGTTGGAAAGAAAGGTTTCCAGCTGTAGTACAAAATATCAAGGTCTATTGAGAAATCTGAACACTCAGCACCATATAGAACTTCATTAACTTAAACTATAGAAAGCCAAGTTTGTGTTGAGAAATTTAAGAATAATCCTCTTGCTGTGCTTTTTCAGCTGTTTTATTTCCAGATAGTAATTTTGAACATGCACAATAAGAACACTGTATTTTCTCTTCTGCAGCCATAAATCAAGAGTTAAAGGCCACCTTAGATTAAAAATGACTTACTTACCTAAAAGCAATGGGTCTGAAGAAGAAACCACAGAACACGCTGAAGAATTGGAGGTGGGAAAAGATGTGTTTGTTGCTGAAAAGCCTAGCAAACAGTTGGTCTTCAGCTATTAAGGGCAGTTACACTAAAAATGAATGTTAGGGATCACTAAGCAATAAACAATATTTTAGAAACAAACCGGTTAAAAGCAATTGCTTGTGTCTTACATAGAAGTTGTAGACTTACAAAAAAATTCTGGAGCAGTTTTTCTAACTAAAGGAGTGGCTTTGTCAGTATATCTAAAAAAGAAAACATACATTAGACTTTTGGTTTTGTTCTGGTAGTGACTTGCCATATGTCTACATAACTTTTCTTGGTTTAGAATTAATGGAAGTATCATTGCCCAGTATTTTTACTGCTGTCTAATGTTGTTTGGCCACAGCCAGCCAGACACTGACATCTTGCTGGTTTTAGAATTTCAGCTCTCTCTAATTTATAGGGATATTTTGATCTTAACTACTTTACATTTGTAATCTTTTGTAAGCATATCCGATTTAGATCAATGGATTTCTTTCCAAGACCTTAAACAACTGTTATCAGCATTACCACCTTTGCTGTAATTAAACTGTTACAAAATGGTATGCTCAGCTGACTAGTACCTTTGCAGCATATGTATGAAAAGATTTTTTTTTTTACTCTGTTCTATGAATTTTCCTAGAATAAATAACTTTTGATGCTAATATATTTAACGAACTTGGGTTAAAAATAAGGTTTCTGCATGCATCACTTGTCCTGTCATTTCTTGAGAAATAAACACGATAAAACCCAGAGCCAATCTTACTGGCTTAAGATGTAGGGGAACTGCAACATAAAAAGGTGTGGTTTGATAAATTGGGATACTTTTTCAACTTTGGTAATATTAATGTCTCTTAGCCTGGGTGGATTATATTGGACCAACCAGATGCTGCTAGCCAGCCACAACAGCAGCAACAGGAATCTCCTCCGCTGCCTTCAGGCTGGGAAGAAAGGCAAGACATCCTCGGCAGGACCTACTATGTCAATCATGAATTCAGAAGAACACAGTGGAAGAGACCAACTGCTCAGTATGTCTTTTGGCCTGAAAATTCAAGTCTTGTATTAAGCAGTGTAACTAGTTCAGTCTAGTTACATTGAAAACAGGGTGAACTAGAAAGCAAACAGCTTGAGAATTAGTAGAGCTTTGCCTAGCTTAACCTTCAAGCCCACATGTAATGGTCACTGGCTAGTGGTCAATTTAGCTGCACAGTACTCTTCCTGTTCTCTGGAAGTAGGCATTCAGATAGAAACTGGTTGCAATTGTGAAGGGAAGTAACTATAGTAATGGAAAGGAAGTTATTTTCCAGCTATAAACCTGGTTCCTACTTCCCAGCAGAGACTCTATTAAATTATTTATCTTGTTTTCCAAATCACGCCCCCCCCAGTCCCCACCCCGCATGTGAATTAGGAAAAATAATACCTGGAATGCGATCTGGTTCTTTAGTTTAACTTATACTTGATGTTGACATGGATGCTTATTATTTTTAAATAGTTTCATTTTTATAGCTCATGACTGTATCTTTTTCTGTTTTGGTCTTATTTTTTGACTGTAAGTAATGTATGTTTTTGCTGTTAGCTTAGCTTCCCGTTGAGAGGTGAAATATGGCTACTGTATGCTGATTTTCTCCCTCCCCAATAGGGACAATGTAGCTGTTGCAGATATTGGTAGTGTGCAATTGGAGGCCCAGCATGTGTTCACTCATCGGCGACAGATATCAGAGGATACAGATAATCTAGACAGCAGAGATTCCCCTGAGGTAAAAACAATCTCTAAATGTTTCTGAAATGCAAATAACTTTATAATCTAGTTAAAAAGCTTGTCTTAACTATTTGTGACTTGGAACTACTTTTTAAAAATGTTTTTTCCTTATTTTCTTTTTAAAGAGCTGGGAAATTGTAACTGAAGATGAGGCAACTATGTACAGCAATCAGAACATTCAAATACCTCTCTCGCAGAGTAATTGTGATATACAGACTCATCTTGCAGAAGAATTGAATACTAGACTTACTACCTCTGGAAGTTCAGCTACTGGCCAGTCAGCAGCCTACACAGTAAATTATTTTCTCATTGTTCTAATATACAGAAATATCTATACTATTTTGTACAAAATGTTACTACTGATAGAATTAGATCCATAAATACTTTATATTAACAATTATATTTTTAATTTAATCTCAAATACAGGGAATTTAAGAGTAATTTTTTTACTGTAGAACCCCGTCTAATCAAACATTTTATGCTTTCCCACTTTGCATTTATGAATTCCTGCCTGAGATTAAAACAGACTTGCATTAACTATTTTTGAGTCTGCAAGTCTACGTATTATTCTAATGTCATACTGAATACTGCTGAAAACTAGAGATGAAGGAAGCTGTCTATATCCTGTTCTAAGGGAACTGTACTATATTGGTTACTTTTTCCACTAGGACAAGTTTCAAGATAACTCATTTTTCATTGTGAATATTGGGAGAAAGTTTTATGACTGGGCTGAGTAAACCTGGTGACTCCATAGCAGCGAAAAAGGGACCTCATTTACACAGTTCCACAGCCCTTTATGCCAGTTGTGAAACTTGTCTGACTTCTTAGTGAGTCCAGTGAGTTCAGCTTGCTAACCCTGTAGAAAACTATTCTGTTTTTTCCCCAACTCTGTTTGTTACTGGTTTAAAGAATCACAGAATCGTAGGGGTTGGAAGGGACCTCTGTGGGTCATCTAGTCCAGCCCCCCTGCCGAAGCAGGGTCACCCAGAGC